GGGGTTAGAGTGGGTTTCTCTGTTATTTCACATGGGGAACAGCACAGGTGGCAAAAGAAATGGAGAAAGCTGGGGCCACCCTGAATCCCTGACGTCCTGTGGGGGGTGAGCCAGGGACTTGGGCCGAGCAGGGGCTCTCAGCCCGGAGGCAGGCGCACGCCTGGGGAATGACTCCTGTCATCTGCTTCCCTCTGCTGCCTGCTTTCCCTTTCTTTCCTCCCATTCCTGCCTCTTTGTTCTCCTGCTCCCGCAGGCTTGGTGCTCAAAGACCTTCCCTCTCTCCCTTGGGCCCCAAGGCAAAGCTCTGCTCAGCTCCTGGAGAGGGCCGGGTTTCTCGGACACCCTTTGCTGCCCATCCCTCCCCCACTCTCAGGTGGTGTTTGGGGGCACTGGGTTCACGTGTCTCCCCCTTTGCAGAGTGCGGTGTGCGCTCCAGGGCAGCCCGGATCGTGGGCGGAAGCAATGCCCCGTTGGGACGCTGGCCGTGGCAGGTCAGCCTGTACCTCAACTCCAGACACGTCTGCGGAGGCTCCGTGGTGGCGCATGACTGGATCGTCACGGCCGCTCACTGCGTGCACAAGTGAGTCTGGGAACGGCAGAGCCGGAGGCCTTGGCGGGGGGCCTAGTGCAGAGCCCAGCTGTTCCCCCAACAGGGGAGGGAGTGGGGAATTGGCCGCCCCAGCAATACTGCAGCCCCGGAGGAACAGGTTTGGCCATGTCTCTGCTCAGTTACAGGCGGCCTGAGGTCTCCAGCTGGCTGGTCTTTGCCGGGATTATCGCCCAGGTGTCAGTCCCACAGCAGGCTGGGGCGGCAGTGGAGAAAATCATCTATCACCCCCGCTATGACGACAGAAGTCATGACTATGACATCGCACTGATGAAACTCACAGCGCCCTTGAACTTCTCTGGTGAGACCCTTCTCTTCAGCCATCTCCCCCTTGGAGGGGACAGAGGATCCCCCCAGAGCAGCCCTATGGCTTCCATTCACAAGGGAGCCACCCACCAACGGTCTGATTCCCACGCCGGTGGCCTGTGTCGATCCCAGGGGCAATGCCAGTATGGGGGTTGGTCCAGCTGTGGAGGGAGGGGGCAGCACAGAGAAAACATTCCCCAGGCAAGTCCCGGGGCCTCTGCTGATGGCACATGGGCTAGAACACTCGCAAGACCTTGTCTCCCATGGATGCAGTGAAATAAGTGGGCAGATTTTGTAAAGAGCTGGGATCTGGCTGTAAAGGTCACAGTGGGAGCCGAGCTCTTTGGAGAATCCGGCCCCTGGAGCCAGAGGGAGCAGAGCTGCAAGGGTGTTTCGCTTGCACTTCTCAGGACTAGATCACCCCTGCTTGCTCCAGGCCGGCTGCTCCTGGGAGCCGCTCTCGATTTGTTTGCGCTGTGCACTGAGAGGGGCGTCCCCAGCTGGCGCTGCTCTAATACGTGTCTCTCTCCCCAGATGCCGTCCGTGCAGTGTGTTTACCGCTGTACCAGCAGGATTTCCCCCACGGCACCCACTGCTGGATCTCCGGCTGGGGCTACACCAGACCTGAACACGGTGAGCAGCTCCAGGAGGCACGGAGAGCTCTCTCGTAGCTCCCTTTTAAAAGAGAACGAGCGAAGGCTGCATCTCACCGAGGGGATGTTTGAGTCTAGAGGGGAGTATTGAATTCTGATCTGCAAACCTACTGCAGTCCTCAGTCCCAACCCGCGGCCCCTGCTGCTATTGCAGGCTGGGGTCCCTTACACACCCACAGCTCTGCTAATCCCCCCAATCCCCACTGCTATTCCAATGACCCCTCTCCTCCTCCCAACACCCAGAGCCCCTGGAGATAGAGTGTGTCTGTAATATCCATGTCCCGCTGTGCCTTGAGTGCAAACCCCAGCATCTAGCCACCAGGGCTGCAGGTTAAACTGTCTCTCTTGTTTGTTTTCCTCACATCCAGTTCCTGTTGCTGAGATGCTGAAGGAAGCTATTGTTCCCTTAATCAGCACCAAGAAATGCAACAGCTCCTGCATGTACTCTGGTGAGCTCACCCCCAGGATGCTGTGTGCTGGCTACCTGGATGGGAAAGTAGATGCCTGCCTGGTGAGAGCAGGCTAAAAGTAGCCCCTGTTGTTAATGGGCCGTGGGGGATCGGGTCCTTCCCCCACTGAGGAGCAGTGTGATGCTGCTTACTGTG